TTAAGAAGTTTTGATAAGGCTTCCCTTGGCATTCTCTAAACCTTTTCCTACACCATTATCAAGATAGGCAGTTTTCAAGGATTTGTAATATATACCTAAGACATCCCGTTTGGCAAAGATCCTTTATGCGAGTAATCGATTAATTATCCATATTTAGTACCTTGAGTTTGACTTCATCAATCCTTAGTCGATTGTACCGCCATACAGTAGCACTGGTTGAGAAACATCTATGAATAGTACTGAATAGGACGAAAACAATATGAATGCTGTTTTGTTTCTTTACTTACATACGTATAACAATGTCATTCGTACCGAACTTTTATTGTTGTTCTTTGTCACCATGGTCACTTTTGTCTTGTCAATATGTAAGTTTTATAAAAAAAATGTAATGTAGGCCAAATCTCTTGGTAATTGCGTTATTTTCTACTTTCTCCTATCTGGATTATTTCAAAACAATCCTATTTAGATTCACTTGGTATTGTTTAGCTTATATCTTCCCATTGAGGTTTAAGACTTCAATTGATCAGTCTGTTATTGGCATTTACCAGGACTCAGTAGCTAAGTGGATAACGTGATGGTGTTTGAGGCGAATGGTACTTTGGGTTCGAGACCTAAAGGGAACATCAACTCTGAGATGCAGGCACATCCAGCTGACGAGATCTAAATAGGACGAGGATGTGCGTCTTGGATTCTACTGTTAACCACTATCCATCTTTATTTATAATGCTTGTGAATTAAGGCAATATCGAGGCAATATACACAGTATGCATATATGCCAACAAGAGACTGATCAATTGCAGTCTTGAACAACAATGAAGAAGATACAAATGAACAATACCAAGTGAATTGAAACATGGAATTGCTTTCATTTTCAAGATCATTCAAATCATGGTAAGTGTATTTTGATCACATTGTATTTGGGGTTCCATGACATAGAGTTCTCGAGAAAGACAATGTCAACTCTATGAATGATTTGATTTCTTTTTAACAATCTATCATAAACAATTTAATAAAATAGTTGTTTCATTAAAAATAATCTTTATTTAGTATTCATCGTTATAAAACCTGACACTGAAGTTATTCACTATGTAAGTGTTGAAATGAAAGTGTCCTAAACACAATCATGTAATGTAGGTCTCTGTAGGCTATAAAGAATATATATCAATGCTTATGTTATCGGTTGCGCTGTAGTATATACCTTGTTAATCTATATTACCTACCTACTTACTTACTTAGGCCTGTTACGCCTCATGGAGAAGCATAAGCCGCCTACCAGTACTCTCCATCTAACCTAACTGATAATTCCAACCACTTAATTTATATACTATGAGGAAAATAAATAATTCTGAGTTTGTGGGATGCGCACTGGTGAAGAGTCCTATACTAGGACAAAACAACCATTCAGTACGTCCAGGTTTTCCATAGTGGTTTAGCTTCAATTGACCATTGAAATAAATAATCATTCATCTCAAACAAAGACAACTAATCTCAATCATTATAAACATGCTTATTAAAAATATTCATTAAAATAAATTCTAACCTCCGGAATTCTGAATGAATCATAAGTATGAGGATAAAAATTAACTTGTTTGACTGGACATTTATCACTGGTCATTCATTCATTCATTCTCACTTGTCTTTTTTGTTTGTTGTTTTGCTTGTCATTATTTTCTCACTATTCCTCGACGTCTCATTCGAAAACTACATTCACTACACGAACTCATCTATGTTTTTTTATTATTATTTATGTTGTACATATCAGTTTTGTCTTTGATTGTCAAGGAATGTTATACAGAAGTGAAGAGTATTACTTAAATATACAAAAAAATAATAATAACTGAATGTTAAAATGGGAAATTGTCAAAAATTACTGTTTATTCTCATGAAAACTAAACAGGTATGAATGTAAAAAGAAACACACACACATACACACACACACAATAACGATTTCTGTCAAAAGATAAACTGTAAAGTTTGGAATAAACAATGTGGAGAAAAAACAGGTTAAACAATGAACTATGAAAGTCATCATCCATATATCGGCTTCATCATTGATGATTACGGTGGATCTGGTGCAGTTGTGAAAACGTGAATCGGCTAACCAAGAGCAGCATATACGACATATGAAAATTAAAACAACTGTGAACCTACACCAAAGTCACAATTTCCAACACAAATGTCAAGATAGTTCTACTGTATGGGACAAAAACTTGAGGAACTACGAAAGCCATCATCCACAAGATACAAATGTTTATTAACAGTTGTCTAGGCAAAATACTTCGGATCCGTTGACCAGACACTATCAACAACAACCTGTTGTAGAAGAGAACAAACCGGATTCCAGTGGAGGAAGAATTCAGGAATAAGTGCTGGAAGTGGATAGGACATACATTAAGGAAACCACTCACCTGCTTCACAAGACAAGCCCTCATTCGGGATCCTCATGGCCAAAGGAGAAGTGGGTGATCAAAGAACAAATTACTCCGAGAAACGGAGGCAGACATGCGAAGAATGAAGTACGAAAGAATTCTCAGGACGTAGTAGGTTGGAGAATACTAGTTGTCGGCGTATTCTCCTGTGGGAGTAACAGGTGTAAGTAAGTAAGTAAGTAAGCAAGTAGCTGGCAACCATTCAATATTTATTGTGAGGATCGATCAATAAAGAAGAAAAGGAAACTTGTTGAAATATTTCGTGCTGAGAATTCATCAGCACAAATGTCGTTCTAAAGAACAATGAATGCTCCACAACTAAACCATTCAGTTTAGAGAACAGAACTCTATCAAAATCATCCACCTGAGCTACAAATCTTCTCCACCATCTTAAAATAATATATCTGAGCAATTTAATGTAAAAATTAAATTATGATCATGTATTTATTTCTTACTGTTGACTTGAATTTGAAAGTGATTAAAAGTCGATATTTTAAAATGTTGGCAATAATTCCATCTAAAATTTCTATGTAAATATAATACTGTAGGGCCAGCGAAATGTCACTAAGCCCTAGCCATATCATCCGGCAGTTGGGTCATTGAATATCGAGCAAATCATCGATCCTCGTCAAGGTCAGGGACAACCAACGCGCATCAGTTAATCGTATGCCATGGACTGGCCCATGCGGTAGTGATCTTTCGCTTGTATCTACTTTAACTAATATATTTCTGTAATAATGTCCTCTGTGTTGTACAGTCTTCAGAGCATCTATGGTACTTTGATACGTCAATGGGGTAGTCCAGCTAAGGTGCTGACCACGAGGTGTGACTTCGACGTTATCCAGTTTGTTACACCATTCACGTCTAACTCGAGTAGGCCTCCAATCATTTCAACATAGATCATCTACGTTGGTGATCTACAATACTATTCCAATTAGCTATCTATCCTGTTAATATTTCCAAGTTTATTGAGGTAGATACTACATACATTAGACTATTGTTCATTCGGGCTTACAGGTTTGGTTAGTAAATTAATTGACAAGAAGTAGTTTATAAGTGTATAGATTAAAATATAATTTGAATTTGTGATATGATTCAAAATTGATCGAAGATGTGTTAAGATGTGTCTTGTTTATAATCAGTAAAGTAATTATAATCCATAGATACATACTTTCCATCATAATATTACTTGTATTACTACCTTTATTTCAAAACCAGACAATGATAACTAAAAATTGGTTGACTGAACATATTAGTCAGCGCGAGACCGATAGGTACTGGGCTCGAATCTCGAGATGTGGGATTGTGGATGCGCTCTGCTGAGTAGTCACATAATAGGACAAAACGGCCGTTCAGTGCTTCCAGCTTTTTCATGGCCGTCTAGCCGCAATCGGCTACAGTATCCACAAAAACTTCTGACATCGATAAGTGTCAATTTGTTCTCCTAGTATGACATATTTAAAAACCTGGTCCATATACACTTTAATTGAGATAATGAACCCACCAATAATAGATCACTATTAAAAAGCTGAAATCACTGGACGGCTGTTTCGTCCTAGTATGGGATTCCTTAGGAGTGCGCATCCACGATTTCTCATGCCGGACTCGAACCCATGACCCCTGAATTCAACAGTTACCTATCAAGGACAATGGTAGATGGTTGCGCAATATCGTGGATTGGTCAGACATTGTCACCGTTGGACTACGGCTCAATGGTCTAAAGTTTAAGCGTTCGCGCGCGAGGCCAAAGGTCATAGGTCCGAATCCTACGGGCGACATTGTGGACGTGAATTACTGAGAGATCCCATACAAGGACGAATCAGATGTCCACTTAACGGCCAACTCATACTATTGTGATACTCCTCAACAGTGAGCATTCACCATACCGCCTGACGAGATTTCAACTCAGTATATATCGGTCTCGCACATGAACGCTTAACCTCTACACCAATGAGCCAGTCGGCATTCAACGGTGTTAATGTCTAACTTCAACTAATCCACGAAATTGAACGACATACCCACCATTATCTTCAGTGAGTTATTATCTCACAACAGACCCGATTGAAATCCACTGATCACTTCTACTCACTAGAACTCCATGAGATACCTCTTGGAACTAGTCACTAGTGATTATATGCTGATTAGTTTCAGAAAGATCATGAGTCAATTAAAGTTAGACCACATAAAAAAACATATTTGTAAATAAGTAGTTTATTTAAATTTCATGTGAAATAATAACTTGCATTATGAAAAAAGAACATGTATATTGTTTATACAGAAGATATTGCTTATCATTGAATATTCAATGGTAATCAATTTAGTAAAATACTATCAAAAAACAACCACCACCACCACCACAACAACAACAACAAAGTATACCTATTAAAACAAGATAACAACCATGGGATTTCAAATACTGTTCAAATTCTTCAATGACATCAATTATATACTCATTGAGTATGATAAGACAACAAGCAAACAGAATCAATAATGAGGTAACAATCATCATGTTTACAATGACTTGGATACTATTTCTCTATTTCAATTCTATGATATCTGTTACTATGGATCAAATCATCATTTAGATGTAAATTTAATAATAATAGAATATGGTTTAGTTGAATAATGAATATTAGATAAACAAAACAGTCAAATACAACACAATGATTTTTTTTACTAATTAGACAATGCGAACTATTCCATTCTATAAATGTTTTCAAACCAGGTATATATATGAAGATAATTGATTGATGAATAATTGCCTTCTTCGTCTTCGTCTTCTTCTTCGTCGTCGTCTTCTTCTTCTTCTTATTCTTCTTCAATGTTTACAATGATGTAAAGTTGTTCTATCACGGCATATATTACATCGGACTTCACAGCACCTGAAATAAATAAATGCAATCGATAAATAATAAAGATCTAGAATAGGTAATAAATGGATTCAGTGATTAAAATAACTCATAGTCTCATTGAATAGGACAAAGAGAATTTGGCGAAGAAACTTTTCTTTTTTACGAAATCATTTATTTAAGCTGATTCGAAGTGGGGGTTGAATCAATATTTTATGTACTACTCCGCCTGGAGACCCTCCGGGGGCTAATGCCGGTCCCAAGCCCGGATAAAGGAGGAGGGTTGGGCATGGGGTTAGCGTCCCCATCCCGTAGAAAACTAACTCGATAAAACAACGCTAACCAGAAAAAATTATTCAACGCTAGGCATTGGTAATCGACAGACTCAAGCTTGAACTCTGCGTGCAGAAACGATTTGTTCGACCTCTCATCCTTTATTGGCCCCAAATCCCTTAATGGGTATGTTTCTGTTGTTTTTTTCGTGTTTTTCTGCACTTTTATTTGATTATTATAGAATTTTTGAAATTACTGTTCTGTATTTTAAACTGTAATCAGTTATTTCACTTGGTATTGTTTTATTTGTATCTTCCTATTGTTATTTAGGACTGCAATTGATCAATCTCTTATTGGCATATGTGCATCCTGTATGGACTGCCTCGATATTGCCTTAAGTCACAAGCAATCTAAGCAAAGATGGATAGTGACTATTAGTGGAATCCAGGACGCAAGTTTCATCCTATTTGGGACTCGTCAGCTATTATTATTATTGCCTTAAACAAGTTTTCTTGATTATTATTCAGTTTATTATTATGACCTTTGTGTTTGTCGCTTTTCTTCATGTCTATCAATTGGACCTATTAGCTAACCCATAAACTATGTTCTTCCTTTCCTCTTTATTACTACATGACCTCATTTGTTATTTATTCTCGAATCCATTTCTGTGATGCAATTTTTTCTCAGAAGGGGTTTTGAGGAGTTTTTAGTAATTTCAATAATTGAAATTATGAATCACTTCGAGCTAGATCACCATGGAAAACCTGGAAGCACTGGACGGCCATTTCGTCCTAGTTTCGGACTCCTCAGCAGTGGATTCGAATCTCACGGTGGGGGGGGGGCAGGATCATGGATGCGCACCGCTGAGGAGTCCCATACTAGGACGAGACGGCCGTCTAGTGCCTCCAGGTTTTTCATGGTGGTCTACCAATCTTTTCTATCCTCCTAAAGACATATATTTTCCATATACAACAAGCTACATATACATCGAACATTGATTTAAGGAATCATTAGTTGTTGTTGTCTTTTAAGTTTTATGTGAGACCACATTTTTCCGGACAACTTTGTTTATACTAGAAAATAGTCACTTTTTTGTATGTTTATTTCTTATGAATTGATGAAAAAAACAATTTTGTTTTGTTTTTTCTTATCATTTAGCGATAGAAACACAAATAATGGATCTATTAAAAGATCTATTGAAAGATTTTGTTGTATTTATTATTCTTACTGTTGTGACCTTAAACCTGGCTAGTTAGTAGGTGATTTATTCTCTAATCGAAATATGACTTATTCAATCTTAATACTCTGTAGTGCTGTTATAAGTTGTAACCGCCGGTTAATGTGCAGTGAATTATCGATCGGATCAAGGACGCGTAAAACACGTGCGAACAGCCTAGAGTTCTAGTTGGTCCTGCTTCCTGCTTAGCCTAGCCAGTTAAATCCAGAACACCGATCCGAGCTTCTGCGATATGAATCATTATATTTCAAACATACTGAGTTTATATACCAATCAAACAGACCACAACGTACCAATAAAATATGAAACAACATTTGTACAAGAATTAGCCAAATGTGGCTGTGAATGAGGGAGGTAGTAATTAATATACTCAAGAATGGTAAAACGTATAATAATAGTTTATGGGTCAAAATAAAGCTTATAATAAATACCGATGACATTAAACCGATATGAGTAGTCTAGTGTCATTATTGGTCCTTTGATTGTCTACCCATTCCAGATGAGTTCAGAACACCAATATCAGCTTCTACTATACAAATCATGTATTTCAAACACACTTGGTTTATACACAAGTCAAACAGACCATATAACACCATAAAATAGGAAATAACATTTATACAAGATCAAGCCATAAAGTAGCTATGAACCTGGGAGACAGTAATCAATAAACTGAACATAACTTAAGAACAGTAAATTGTATCATAATAGTCTATAAGTCGAATTGAAGCTTATAATAAGAGGAATATAGATATACATAACCTAGTTACTGAACAGTTATGCAATAAGAATATATATATATATATATATGCAATATTATAAGGACTTGACACACATGACATTGATCACCACCCAGTGTCAATCGATTGTGATTACATCTCAGTCCTACAGGAGGTCAGTCGCAGCCCGGATAGCTCAGTGGTAACGTCTCTGACTGTGAAGCTGGGTGACACGAGATCGAATCCGCCAGGGAGCATCAGTTCCCTCAAGATTGCAGGTACACCTTGTTGACGAGTGCCAAGTAGCACGAAACACGAGTACAGGGTTTCCTGTTGACTACTTCCAACCACCATCTAATCTCAATATATGGTGCACGCAGTGTCGAGTCACCTAGACTGGTGGCCACATTGCAACATGGTCGATAGTATTCGATCTGCACTAAATAAGGACTTGACAGACATGACATTGATCACCACCCAGTGATCAATCAAGTAATATCAGTCCATTAATAGTCCACCGAATTCGACCATAACTTGGTCTTTACTCGGGTACAGCAGATTGACTATCGTGAGTAAATGAATTGTTTCAATTCAATAAAGTCATCAATCACATATTCTTGTCTGAATCAATCAGTTCATTTATATTTACACATGATTTGTAAATATTATTATCGTAATTCATTTGTTTTAATAAAGCTTCACAGAAGTATATGTGTTCTCACTACATATTGGATTGGTCAAAAATTTAAAGGACATTCATTATTAATTAAAGCAAACTGAAGAAACCAATCTACATTTAGAACAGCCTAATTACTAGTTAGTGTTTTTTTGCCAATTAATTTTCTACGGGATGGGGTCGCTAACCCCATGCCCAACCCTCCTCCTTTACCCGGACTTGGGACCGGGAGTAACTCTAGAGGAGCTACAGGCGAAGACAGCCTAATTATATAGATTTTATTCTTTTACTAAAGTGATAACAGAATAATATCAAAATCTGTACATTGTTCTTTGAAGTAAACATAATAGATAAACAATAATAAAACTCAACTGTTTTATTCTTCTTCTTATATAAGATAATGGGTTCAGTTTAAACGGTAATCATTTCTTTTTGATCGGGATCATGAACCGATTGATGTTAGACCACCATTGAAAACCTGGAAGCATTGAACGGCTGTTTCGTCCTAAACTGATAATTACCATGTGCTGACTAGTAACTAGCTTCGTGAGAAAATTCTCGGAGTTCTAGTGATAAGTTTTGACCAATGGAGCTAATCCGTGTCAGGTAGAGACAGGTATCTACCTCAGTATATTGGAAGATGGTCGCGCAACTTCGTGGAATGGTTGAAGTTAGACATTAACACCATTGGATACCGGCTGGCTCAGTGGTCTATAGGTTACATGTTCGTGCGCGAAAGCGATAGGTTCAGGGTTCGAATCTCATGAGGCTGTATCGTTGATGCGCACTGCTGTGGAATCTCACAATCGGACGAGTTGACCGTCCAGTGCATCCAGGTTTTCAATGGTGGTTTAACATCAATCGGTTAATGATCTCAATCAAAAACTTAACGATCTCCACAACCCCTAAACTGGTAACCATTTCTGTTGTATATATTTAAATATGCATATATCTGATCCACATATGAATTAATTTTCACTTGTATACTTGAATTTCTGACAGGTTATATTATTTTTTGAACAAAAAACCAAACATGGAAAACCTGGAAGCACTGGATGGCTATTTCGTTATAGCGTTGTACTTCTCATCAGTGTGTATCCATGAACACAACTCGCGAAATTCGAAACCAGGATATGTCGGCTTCGAGCGCGAACGCCTAACTTCTAGGTTACTGAGCCGGCATCACTTGTGATTGGCTTCAAGAGGTATTTCTTGGAGTTCTAGTAAGTAGCAGTGATCAGTGGAAAACAATGGTGGATTTGTTGTTTAATTTCGTGGATTAGTTGAAGTTAAACATTAACACCGTTAAATGCCGACTGGCTCAGTGGTGTAGAGGTTAAGCGTTCATGCGCGAGACTGATAGTTCATGGGTTCAAATCTCATGAGGCTGTATGGTGGATGCTCACTGTTGAGGAGTACCACAATAAGACGAGTTGTCTGTTTCCAGGTTTTCCATAGTTGTCTAGCTTCAGTTGACTCATGATTTCAACTGTTGAAAGAATCCAACAGTTGAATAATTCACTTAAGAATGTTTCATTTCATTACGTAAGATTCGATTTCAAAAAGATACAAAACACGTTGAAAATGTTAAAGTATTTTATTTCACTCACCAAAAAAATTTACATTCACATTTTTGTTCACGTTCCAATTCTAATGTATCATAACCTCGATCACAACATAAACGTGTACATGAATTAACAGCATCTTTTGACGTGGCATTACATTGTCTTCCAGCAATACCTAAATGACCTAAATACAGTATAATTACAAATGAAAAACAAGTAATAAGAATATAAAGCACAGTAGTAGTATACACTATCATGAATTGATTGAAGTTACACATTAGATTTCAGCTCATTAGCTTAAAAGGTAAACACTGATTGACGACGTGAATGCTCAGGTTCAATCTTTATTGAGATCGTGGATCCACACTGTTGAGGCTTTCCATACCAGAATTAAATAACTGTATTATTCTTCTTTAGGTTTACAGTAGTAAACAATCTTAAATCAGTCCGTGAAGTTGTAGTGACCTAATTTTATCAAGAGAACGCGATTGGTTTAATAGAAACAATTATTATTACAACCAATTGTACCAGTGATTGTTTTACTGTACTTGTTTGTTTAACTGTACTAAAGACATCCATTATTCTTCCATTCTTCCTTTCGTTGATTGTGACCTTGCACGAACTTACGTTTGCTCAGTGAATCCGCTTATACTCCTTTGGTACGATCTCAGTATTCTTTCGATACCACGAGATCACCATCAAATATACTTCACTACAACCTCCAATTGACTTCTCATATCCGGTACGTAACCTTCTTGTAGTGGTGATCATAGTCAACAACGACTCAACGCCACACTACAAAGTAAAACTACGAAGTATCTAATTATTAAAATTGGTTAAGTTATTTTTTTATAGAGAAACAACATTATTTTCTTCATCTAGATATACTACTGATTGAAAATAGCTGTCACAGTATACTCTTAAACAAGTGTATAGATCATGTATACTTGCCTAGTTGATGAGTAGTTATTGTTGAGTATATAAGATGAATGTCTTTACCTACTAGTCTTCAATAAAAACGATAAACTTTGTGTATTACATCTTTCAAACTTATTATCAGTATAACGTACTAAGGGACATAAGAAAAATGAAGTTCATGAATATAAAGAACAGGGATGATGAAAACAACATTTTCAGTCAAAATTATAACGATAATAATAACTGCATTCAATTTTATATTGTGGTGTGTGCTACTAATATCGACAGATATAAGTAGTATGTATCGTCAATCGAAAGTGAAATGCCTGATGGCAGAAGTTTAAGGAGATCGAAGAAAAGAAAACGAGAGCACAGAATGATTAGTATGAAAAAGAAGGAACAATCGAGTCTGAGATGATTGATTGACATTTTACAAATGAAAAATTATATGGAATTATTAACATATTGCATATAACCGAGTTTAACTTAACTATATCATATGGCTAACGTGTTATGGTAGTGCTGTGTTACTATCAAAGTCAATTTCTTGTTGTACTTCCTTATAAATAACTATTTCACAATCACTTGGTATTGTTCACTTGTATCTTCTTCATTTGATCAGTCTCTTATTGGCATATGTGCATCCTGTGTGCATTGCCTCAATATTGCCTTAATGTACAAGCATTATAAATAAAGATGGATAGTGGTTAACAGTGGAATCCAGGACGCGTGTTTCATCCTATTTGGGACTCGTCAGCTGGGTGTTTCTACAATCTCAGAGTTGATGTTTCCTTTAGGTCTCGAACCCAGTAACATTCACCTCAATCAACATTGCGTTATCCACTTAGCTACTGAGTCCTGATAGCCATCTGGGAAGATACAAGTAAACAACACCAAATGAATGTAAATGAAACTATATGTTTAGTGTAAGTAGTTGTATCACATTAGCTACTTACAATGGGATAAGTGACGGACAGTTCATAAATTCTAACTAGTAACTAAATATTAACTGGGTGACTGCTAAAAAATCTTGTCACGAGTTTATTTCAGAATGCAACCAAGATTGGTTTATTAAAGTGTTATGCAAATGTTTTAACATACTCATCCACTCTAATTAGTCATAGAATGATTATTATTGCCACATTATCAAGTATTTGGTGATGATGGGAATCAATTACCTACTTTGCAATTCGCTTACTAGAATTAATGATTTATTATCAGAATGCACTCAATTCATAATCGTGAGAGAACTGATAACTCCCTTGTGGTTTGAACACAATAAAATTCGATAAACATAAAGAACTCTAAATTAAATTGATTACTAAATCTTGAGACAACTAAGTTTCGAGTAAATACACTCAAATTCATCAGAGTATATCAGGTTTTACAGGTTACAGATACTTCTTACTGATGAATAGGAGACATATTAGAACTTAGTTCAACTAGGGCTTTCTATTGATTACATAAAACCACTAAGAAGAGGACGTTTTCTTATTTGCATCCATAACAGTTGAATATCAAAAGGCTAAATACTAAAAACTAGATAACGTCGAATAGTTGTTGTTTTCGATGAAACTCTTTAGAAATTCACCTCCCTCGATCCCGTCAAGGACTGAGCCCAAGATCTTCATTCTCTTTAGTGAGCTCTTAACCTTCAGGCCTCTGATTTTGCATCTAGTAGTTGAATTTCTAGCTAGCAATATTATGAATTTAACTTTTACTCACATCAGTGTCAGATGGTGCATGCCTAATATAATTAAAGTCTATTAATCTTAGGCTTTCTACGAGAACTTGCAGAAATTTTCAGAAAGTTAATCATCAATGAACATATGATCATTAACTGTATTCAACTGAATCTATTTAAATAGTTGAGATTATCAGTCAATTGAAACTAGATCACCATGGAAAACCTAGAAACACTGAACAGCCGTTTTTTTTAAATCTTATTGTAGGACTTCTCAGTAGTGCGCATCCACGATCCTGCCTCATGAGATTCGAACCCAGTACCTATCGGTCTCACCCCTTTAACGCTTAATCCCTTAGTCAATGAACTCATGATTTTAACTATTGAAATTACTATCGTGTCCACAAAAACCCCTTTTGATATGAATCTATTTAGTTGATAACACTATAACGGGATAATCTATAAGGTCTGACTCATAAAATATGCCATAAACTATTATCGTTCATTTATTAATAACAAAATCAACATTTCCGGTCAATATGATTTGATGTCGCTGTGACCTATTAAGTAATTATATCTAAACGAAAAGATTAATTGAGTCTGGGTTAAAAATTTAATTAATAATAAATATAGAAAATGTTTTTCTTTTCAATAATAACAATGAGTGAAAATTATAGGCAACAATTTATCAATGATATACCAACTTTCTAATTATCTGTAGGGGTGTTCATGAGTTCCATTGAAACTGGATCACTATGGAAAACCTAGAAGCACTGAATGACTGTTTCATTCTAGTGTGGAAATCTTCAAAAGTAAATATCCAATATCCCATCCTGCGGGATTCGAACCCAGTACCTATCAGTCTCGTTCGTGAACACTTAACCTCTAGATCACTAAGTTGGCTGAAATCCAAATAGTGTAAATGTCTAACTTCAACCAATTCACAAAATTGAGCCATTGTTCACTATTATTATCAATGAGTTACAATCTTGCAACAAACCTTTTTATGCAAACTACTGACGAGGAGATCTACACTAGGATGAAACAATTATCCAGTGTTTTTGTAGGTTTTCTATGGTAATTTAGCTTTAATTAACTCATGAACTCAACTATTCAATTATTACACAAGTTGAAATCATGAGTCAATTGAAGCTAGACCACCATAGAAAACCTGGAAGCACTGGATGGCCGTTTCGTCCTGGTATGCGGACTCCTCAATTATTATCTAGTTGTTTGGAACTGAATAGTGGTTGGCAGCGTATTGTGGATAATAGGCGTAAGTAAGTAAGTAAGTAATGTTTGGAAGTAAAAGTAGTTGAATTATAAGACCGTATGTTGTTGTTGTTGTTTTTAAATAAATAAAAAATAATAAAGGGGGGAAGGGATTTTTCTGGTATTTTTTTAATTGTTTACAATAATTGTATGCTAATTAAGTCGATATTTTGTACATAAAAATTTTAATTATTCAATTTCCTTTGAGTACTAAATAGAGATTAAGATAAACACCATTAACCTAAACTACTACAGATATATTCTCACATGAATTGTAATTATAGGAGTAAATAGTATATAACTTTGAAGATAGTACACATCCGGAGTCGATATTAGAAACACAGAGAAAGAGAGAGAGAGGATGGGAGAGAGGGGGAGGAGAGGTAGGGAGAGAGAGGGGGAGACAGATAAATATTGATTTATAACTTATCTAAATATATAGAGTGAATAATCTTAAGTTATTTGAATAAATAAACATTTATACTTTTGGTGTTTAACTGGATTAATGGATAACTACAATAAGATAATAATAATATGATTGAGTAGTATTTATATTACTAGTAGTAGTAATTATAATAAACACTTTTAAAATGAGTAATATAGTTGGTGATTATAGTAGATTTGAGTCCAGAGATAATCATCATCATCATCATCATCGTCCTCAGCGTCAACAACAACAACAACAACAACATCGTTGTCGTCATCATTGTCATTCATGAATGATCTTTATTGAAGATAATATGTAAAGGTTTATCAAAAAAAAATGAGTCACATTTGGATAAAATAACAGTAATTATAAATTAATGGTTAGAGAATAGAAAGGAGAATATAGCCGGGGATGGGGGGGTATGATTATTTAAAAAAGAGAATGTATTCAGTCATGTATTTGTTACTATTGTCTGTTATATAAAGGTGTTTAGTGACAGACTAAACAAACAAATAATAATAATAATAATTAAGCATGAAAAATGTCCAAAAATCTATTAGAAACAGAATATTTTTTGGTTTAAATCTCTCTAATGAATCATACTATATCATATAATCTAATTAAAGGGAGTTTATTGGAATGTAAATGGATGAGAGAATCTTGATTGATTAGTCTATACTCTATATAAAGGGTAAGAGACGTAAGTAATTAAGAATACTATGACAACGGGCTACGGGTGAACTCGAGGAAGCTGTAAGAGGTTCAGAAGGAGCCGAAGATGTCCCATCCAATCACCTTTCTGTTGTGGATGCGGGGGAATAGACCAATAATTATCATGTTAATCCAATGTGTCCTTGGACTTTAAATGGACATTTCCTATTGG